GCGCACGGAACCATCCTCCTTTCCACTTCTGCGCACGGAACCATCCTCCACAATTTGTTTTATACCAATCTTTAAAAAAAAGTTAAACACTATATTTTTATATTTTTTTATATACTTATGTAATTTTTTTAAGCTTAAACCGTTTTGTCTTATGAGGGGATTCAAAAAACATCTTTCAGAAACTATTTTTTATTCATATAAAATTCCATTTTTGGAGATTCTCGCTTAAATCTAATTTTTTTTCGCANAGGGGATTCAAAAAACATCTTTCAGAAACTATTTTTTATTCATATAAAATTCCATTTTTGGAGATTCTCGCTTAAATCTAATTTTTTTTCGCAATATTTTGGAGAACGGCTTAAAATACAATAGACTTTATAATTCCAATGGAAAAACAGTACCGATTTTTTTTTGTATGGGGGGTGAATGAATATCTTTTTCTTATAAATTTGTATTTCATCTTTAGTATATGGATATATTACTACCTTTCATTTAATACTGCCATTTTACTTTTTATTAAAATGTGGATTATTTTGATAACACATTTCCACGATTCTTCATGAATTGCTGAATATTTTAATTGCATTACCAACGTACCTATAATCGCGGTGACAAGAGCTGGTAAAATTTTTTGGTAATACAATTTTCCAATTAGAAAATCTTCGGTAACGTGCAGAATAAACCTGTTAGTGTTTTTTTTTATTTTTACCCAACTTCAAAAAAAAAGAGAAAGGTTATCAATTCGCCGGAATATTTTTTGTTTATGTATTATTTTTTTTTTTTTCCATAAAACTTGAGACCACTTTAACCGAAAAGAAAGGTGGTCCCCCATACTAATTTAGTTAAGATCCGATCATTGGATCATGAAGAACTTAACGGTGCTCTCAAATTTGTTTTTTTCTTAAATTTACTTGTATTATTTCTAAACAGAAATTTGCAAAAACCCAATAAAACCATAATGGCGTTGTTTCCGTTTCCAATTGGAATTAATGCCATATTGAAACTATGATTTTATTTTTACGAGCAAAGTCAAAAACAGTCATTATGGTTTTATTGAGTATGGTGTTATAGCAAATCTTTGTTGGAAATAAAGCAAATCTCAGATTTTGGTATTATTTCCCATTAAGCAAATTTTGCTTTATTGCCGTTTGCCTAATTGCAACCCCCATTTGAAACAAATTCTAAATTACCGCTAAAATTAAACCTAATCTCATTATTTGCCAAACTTATCGACTGACAGTCACATTGACTCAATAATAAAAGACAAAAAACAAACCCTGATGTTTTCACTCAGATATCTATGGAATCGAAATAGTATTAAAACAGAACTCTAATCTCACTTTACTTCAATAAATAATTTTAACTTGAAGGTACAAATAAGACGGTGTACCAAGATTTCTTTTGTTCAACAATAAATAATATATTATGCTTTATATAATTCCGAAAGTGTCGGTGTGACTTGGCATTTCGGTTATTTTTGATTTTATAAATATTCATTGGCAATATCTATTTGGCTAATGCAACTAGTTACTAAATATAAGCACAACAAAAAAAGCTTGATCTTAGTTTTCTTTTGTGCAAATCTTTACGCATTATAAAATCAGATATGGAATTAGTATAACCTGAAACGCTTCGTGATTTACGAACTAATTTCATCGATGTTTATTTTTCAATTTAATTATTCATTTTCTTTTGTTTGTTACTTTTCGATATGCTAATTTTATTGAAACAAAAAAATTATTAGGTAAACTCTGTTTGGTAAGACAAGTTTCGAAACGATTTTGTTAACAAAATTGCACTCGGGCAACTGGTTACTTCTGACACTAGTTCACAATTAAGTCAAAATGCTTAGTTTATGATTACCGCTGTAGTGAAGAGGATATCCCAATGTGACAAAAAAATGGAATGAGTCATAAGGACTTGTTGCATAAGAAACCTTTGGTTAAACAGTTTATCGCTCTTTAAACAGCTTGAATTCATTTTGCATGACTATGACGTTTTTATGAAATAAAGTAGTTTTTATCTAAAACTTATACCCAATTTTATAAAAAAAAGATAGTTTTGAAATGCCTTATAAACATAAAAATTATAAGAATAGGTCCAATCTAATTAATTTTTTATGAGTTAGACTAAGTACTACAATATACAAACATATGTACTAAGTATATACATGTGTATATACAAATGTACATACTGGTTTAAAGAGCTTGCTGTTTTCTTAATTTTACCCATCATCCATAGCAAACATTAAAGATAAATCGACAAAAACCCAATTTCAAAACTGAAAGCAGACGGCCTCGATTAGCGAACAAGAATTTGTATAGAATTTATATTTGATATTATTTAATACATATTTAAATAATCAGTTAAAATGTGCATGAAAAAATCTCATATTAAAACTGGTTTTATATGAAGACTAGTTTACTGGTCAACAGTATTGTGATTCGAACCTTCAGCGGGCAGAAAATGGGTAAAAGCAATTGCCCATTGGCTTCTGGAATTTCGTTCCTTTTTGATTGGTGTTTCGCTCTCAAGGTATATCAGTATGTTCTATAATCGTAGGGCTTGCAGACATATAAATTAAACTAAAAGAATAAACTAAAATTTTATCACTTTTATTTTATCCTTTTTCACTTTAGTGTATAACACTAAATATCCCATAATCGTTAACCCCTTATTTCAGAAAGAAATTTCTTGTACATAAAAAAGTTCATAGCGCTTCAAATTAAATATTCGAAGAACGCCAAAAATGGCAGTGTCAATTTTATTTTAAATCGACCCCTCGACTAGCAGGTAACCTGTATGCTTTTAGCGGTTATTCGGCAAAGATACTATTGGGCTTACTTCTTCTTATCCCAACCACCCCAGCCTCCGCTACTGCCGCCGTAGCCACCACCGCCGTAGCCACCACCGCCGTAGCCGCCGCCACCATAGCCGCCGCCGCCATGACCGCCTTCGACAGATATGATCTTGTAGATTTGAACGCCACCGCCATGACCGTAACCGCCACCGCCATGACCGTAACCGCCACCGCCATGGCCATAACCGCCGCCGCCATGGCCATAACCACCACCGCTGTAGCCGCCGCCATGACTACCACCTGAGGATGTTGAGATGACTTTGTAAACTTGCACATCGCTATAGCTGCCACCATGTCCGTAGTCGCCGCCGCCGTAACCGCCACCTCCATAACCACCGCCTCCGTAGCCACCACCGCTGTAGCCGCCACCGCTGTAGCCGCCCCCGCCAGTAGTAATAACTTTGATGACTTTACCACCTCCATAGCCGCCACCTCCGTAGCCGCCACCTCCGTAGCCGCCGCCTCCGTAGCCACCACCTCCGTATCCTCCACTGCCTCCACCGTAGCCACCGCTGCCACCTCCTTTAAGTAATCCTAGAAATCCCGCATGGGTTGACACCGTCAAGGCACTAAGTGCCAATAAGCAAACGAATACCTAAAATTGAAAAATAAAATGTACATTAATCCTCTTTTGCTCTGACGTAATCCTTTCGCGTTAATCGACTTACTTTCATTTTGGTGATGGCAAAACACGCCGCTAAGAACGAATTATGCACACTGATGTCCGTGTGCCGTAGAATTTGCCTTTTATTAACCAGCAAGTCGTTGCCAAAATCAGTAGATACGTTTTTGTTGTTTTTGTGGTTTAACAGCCTTAAAAGAACACTTGAAAAGACATCTTTTAATAACTGAGCTATAGAAATGTTGTTGGTGCATTGTTATTTGTTATTTAATCATATAAAAGCGTCTTAGAAAGAAATAAAATGTAGTAGTGTGATTATATGAATTTTAATTAGAAGCTTAGAAGAAAACACTACTTAAACATACTAAACCAGAATTCAAGTGAAAAAGAC